GCGGAAACGATCTTGCCTCAGCTAGCGATGATGGGTCAGTGCGAGTGTGGGACGCCCAAGCAGGGGTGCTCAAATACAGCTTAGAGGGCCATACAGCCCACGTGAGGAGTGTTGCATACTCTCCTGATGGACTCCAGATTGCAAGTGGCAGCTTTGACAGGACAGTACGGTTGTGGGATGCGATATTAGGGCAGCAGCTAATGCAGATGAACCATGAGCATAGGATTGAGCAAATTGTGTATTCACCTAATGGCCAGGAAATTATATCTTGCAGGTATCCCTGCGGTTTCCCGTATGTGTGGGATGTTGGGTCTGGTCAAAAAAAGTACGAGTTAGAGTATAGCAATGAACCCGGTGCCATTCAGTATTCTCCTAATGGAAAGCTCGTTGCTTCATTCTCCTCGAATATAGTATACCAATGGGATGTGCAAACAAGAAAGCTCACCCATACTCTTGCAGAGCATCCTGATCGTATCATAGACCTAAAATACTCACCAAATGGAGAACAGATAGCCACTTGCAGTCTTGCAAAGACAGTACAGGTTTGGAGCACGAGATCAGGGCAACTCATGAATACTTTTTATGGCCACTCTGGCTTTATACGTCGTATGGCTTACTCACCAAACAGCCATCAACTTGCATCCTTCAGCGATGATAAGACAATACGGTTTTGGGATACTCGATTGCAGCAACCAAATCATGACTCACATGGCCATTTAGCGCCGATCTATGGTGTTAGAAGCTCACCGGATGGGCAGCAGATAGCTTCGCGTAGTTATGATAAAACAGTGCGTATGTGGGATGCAAGAACAGGACAGTCCACCCATGTTTTACAAAGCATCGATGGATCCATAAAAGGCATCAAGTATTCTCCTGATGGTCAGTTACTAGCTTCTTACCATGGTTCTTCACGTGTCTACCTTTGGAATGCTCGAACAGGCCAAGTCGCCCATACCTTGGAACTGCAGGACAGACAAGACGATTGGATCTGCACCTTTGATTTCTCACCTATTGATCACCAAATTACCTTTGGTCATCGCCGTGGAGATGTGACTATATGGAACACACAAACAGGAGAGCTCATCTACACTCTACAGGGCCGCATTAAAGCTGTAAGGTGTGTGGTGTTTTCACCTGATGGCCATCATCTTGCTTCGTATGATGAAGATGGCGCTCTTAGAGTCTGGAAAGTTTATTCAGGTGACCTTTGTTATGAAGTAAAGGCTGGAGAAAGGACGGGCAAATCTATCAAATACACACCTGATGGCCGAAAAATAGTGGTTGATTGCAGCTATGCCTTTCGTGAGGTGCAAGTACGGAACGCAGGAACGGGTGAGCTTTGCTATATAATACCTGAGTATTTTACAAGGGTAGGACCAATTTCACCATGTAGTCAAAGGATGGCTGGTCTGTGTGACAATGGACAAATTAATGTGGTGGATATGCAAACGGGAGCTGTTTTGTATATGCTTGAAGGGCACACCAAGGAGATCACAGAGATGGCTTATTCGTCTGATGGAAAGTACCTTGCCTCAAGCAGTCATGATAGAACAGTGCGAGTGTGGGATGCAGAGACAGGCGAGTGCTTGATAGTAATCCCATCTGAAGGCGGGCTTGTTAGAGCGCTTGTATGGAATACTTTTGAAGGAGGTTGCTTCCTAGTCACAGGATCTGAGGATGCCTCTGTTCGTATGTGGCAGATTGCGAAGGAGGGCAATCAGTATCAGTATCGCCTGAAATGGTGCACTAAACAGACAGTTCTCAATGCTAGCAACATGTGTATTCAAGATGTAATTGGATTGAGCGCAGCCAACAGGAAGCTTCTGATGCAACGAGGAGCAATAAAAGAGCAATCCCATCCGTTGGTCGTATGTGAGGCACGCAAACAGATTGTGGCAGCATCACCAATGGCACACAAGTCCAAAGCAGCCTCAAGTCAAGCTGATGATTTTCAAGCCCTATCAGTAGAGACATCCCTGGAGACAGAGGATCTGAGAGGGGGAGCACTGCAGGCAACAGTTGCAGCAGCAGGTCAATCGATCAATGACTACCGATTCAAATACAGCATGTGCAGTGAATGTAGATTTGCACATGTTATTTCATGTAGACCTCGCGACCAAGGAGAGCAGTAAACAGCATGCTATTGGGAGTAAAGAATAAAGTGAAGAGCTATTTGAAGACTGATCAGCTTAAAATGAGAATGATGTACATTCGTCTTTTACTTGACCAGTCTGACACGACAAATGTGCTTTTATCTTCAGTTCTTTCATGCAGATGTGTGTCTTATCCACATGTACATGTACCTAGTTGAGCTGACTGCTGTGCTCTGTGCTCTGAATCAACGGAGATATCACTGAGAACTCGAAATCTGTACTGTCGTTGTCTTGTGTCTGTACGCAAGCAATATCCACGATCAAGAACAAACGTCTACGAGTAATTGCATCAAACATTGGGTGCCATCAAAACAACCGTTCTTTCTATTTGTCGTATAAAATGAAGGCACCGCTTTACTTGGGATCATCCAATCGTTTTGAGTAACAAAGAGTATTGGAGAGCGTTGTCCTTTCTCGTCTAGGGGATAGTTTCTTAATACCAGGTAATGTACGTCTTGGATACATACAATTCATGTTGATCTCTTATGAAGTGCCTCTCACATCCTACCAACCAACTATCAGTGGTTTTGAAGTCAATAGCAAGACAAGTTCACACCATTTTATCAATGAGCCTGAACACGATGTAGACACAAACCAAGGGGAATAACTCTATTCTTTTGACCAGTTAATTGGCAATGTTTTTTGTGTACAACAAGTGAATCAAGAGAGGCAAAGAAAATGCTTGCAAAATAGCTATGGTTTTTATTGGCACTGTTGTAGAAATCTACCCAAAACTTCGCCTCTATTTGCCACGACAAAATTCCTATTGATTCCACGAATCCATCCCTGGACATTTTTTTGCACCAATCTTGAGAATACCATCATTGATATACCTTCTTATTTTCCTACTCTTTCCTCCTCTTCAAAAACCCTTACGATGTTTCTCACAGTGGAATATGAGAAGCCAAAACGACGAGCAGTCATTGCAGGAGTCAATCCTCCATCAAAAATGGATCTGATAATTTTTTGACGAAGACCGGAATCAATGCATTGATAGCTTTTGAATGTGGCATGGTGTAGTGCTGAATGTTAAAAAAAAAAAAAAAAAAAAAGAGTGCACGCGAAATTTATTTTAATGAATATGCACATTTAGATAAAAAAAAAAAAAAAAAAAAAAAAAAATATCACCAAAACTCATCTGTAGAGGCAGCCTTAGAGGCAATGGTTATGAAATAGGAAATATCATAGACAACAGCACCTGCAACAAGCAGGTCGATCAAAAGCTGCCAGTTTAAATACAGTGAGATGCAGCAAATGTAATTATGTACAGTCACATGAAAAAATTATACGGCAAAATAAATTTAGAAAATAATTGACGCGAAGATAGCATCCTCTCTCTTTCTTTTTCTCATTTTTCACAACAATAACAACTTGAAAAAACCACCATGCCTTTAAATTTGGATATCGAGGATAAAGCTATCATGGTTGGAATGCATCTTGCGGGAATGAAGGATGCGGAGATCGCGCTGAAACGTAATGTACCAAGATCAACGGTCTACACTATTATTCAAAGATATTACAAAAGAGGTACCACCGCTCGCGCCCCACCCCAGGACGACCAAGAGCACTGAGTGAAAGAGATATCAGGAGCATAGTGCGCTGCACAAAGAGAGAAAGGAGAGCCACTCTTAAGGACATCACCAATCAATTGGCGAAGAAAGTGTGCACAAGGACCGTTGCAGAGATATTGCATTCACTGGGTATCTTCAGCCGGATCGCGGTTCCAAAACCATACTTAAATGAAGATCATATGAAGAGGCGACTGGCTTTTGCCAAAAAGTACGAGAGTTGGTCCAATGAAGATTGGAGTCGGGTAGTTTGGACTGATGAATCGTCATTTGAAGTTGGCGAGAATTTCCGTAAGATAAGAGTTTGGCGTACGGCGGAGGAAAAGTACGACCACGATTGCCTTATACCCACTTTCAAGAGTGGTAGAACATCCTTGATGGTCTGGGGGGCATTCACATCAACCAAAAAGTCTCGGTTGGTTATATTTAAACGAGGTCGTAGAGATGGGCAGTGTTTTGTGGAAGATGTATAAAAAGTTGAACTAATCAGGTTTATGGCTGAAGTAGAGGGCGGCATTCTCATGGAGGATAATGCTCCAGTCCATACTTGTAAGATAGCAAAAGAATGGCGTGAAAATAACAACATCTCTAGGATTCCAGACTGGCCAGCATGTTCTCCGGATATAAACCCCATCGAGCGTGTATGGTCATTTCTCGCTAATGCACTCGATAAGCGCTCCAGAGGACCAAGAGATCTCCCCAGTCTCGCAGTAGCTCTTACTGAGGAGTGGAATAATTTGCTACAAGAGAAACTGGCAAGCCTTGTTGATTCCATGCCCAACAGGCTGAAAGAAGTGAGGAAGGCTAAAGGTGGGCACACTCATTATTAAACCCACATAGTACTTTTACCTTTCATACAGTATATCCTCAAAACCTCCATAAAGAAACAAAATCGACCTCTTTAACGAATTCTAAAGTTTCATGTTGATTGATAAAGTCTTTGTGTATGTTGTCTATGATCTGTTTGTCAAGGGTGCTCAAAAAATTACAAAAAAAATAGAATTTGCCGTAAAATTTCTTCATGTGACTGTACATACGCTATCAAGAGTAAAGAATAAAATGGAGAGACACTTGGGTAATCACCATAAAAATACTGTATACATGTCTGCTGTAGGAGTAAAAATGGTTACAGTTGATACATGTTAAGATGAATGGTATCTACCATTGCGACTTGCTGCGTTTACTTAACCTATAGAATTTGCCGCTCGCTTGTTTCCTGTACATAGTTTTAACCAATAAAAACTGATTTAGCTGGTAAAAACTGGTGCTTGACACGTCTTTTGAAAATGAATTTTAGGCGATGTTTATTATACGACTCAGCTGATTCTTAAAAATAGTTTTTTTCTTTTCTTTTTTTTTTTCTTCAAAAGTTTCTTATTTTCATATAACTCATTACAAGGAGAAAGAAAAGAGAACTCAGGAAGATATGCACCACAATACAAAAGATAACTGTTAGAGAGATCATCCTCCTCTGGCGAACTTCTGGAGGTTTGCCAAACTGCCATTCCAATAATCACCATCGCCTGGGTTGGGGCTTGCGTTATCCGTATACTGCCAGAACGAGTAGAATGCCCATCCTGCAGGAAGAGTTCCGGGCGTACTAGCGTACCTCGCAATCCACAGTGGGTTTTCGCTACCGAAACCACCGTAGTTTCCAGTACATAATTGCCACCAGCTGGTACTCGTATAGATAACAGGAGGACGTCCGGTTTTGGTTTTGTACGTATTGGAAAAATCGCGAATCCAGTTAACCATACCAGCTGCGCTCAGTCCATAGCATTTGTTGGTTCCATATGGATTGTATTCAAGGTCGACGACGCCTGGAAGAGTAATACCATCGCCACTCCACCCACCGCCATTGGAGACGAAGTAATTGGCTTGTACCGCACCACTTGAAACGTCTGGACGGGCGAAATGGTATGATCCTCGGATTAGACCCACGTTGGTAGCACCAGTGTACTGTGAGTTGAAGCTAGGATTCTTGTAGCCGGTGCCTTCTGTGGCTTTGATATAAACGAATTTTATTCCGTTCGCCTTCACCGTATTCCAGTTTACGTTTGGCTGATATCCTGATACATCTATTCCTTTGACTGTTTCGGAGTACGCGACAGAAGCACATAAAAGGAGGGCGGCTAACTTCTTCATCATTGTAATGATACACCTAATCCGGGATGAGTAAAGGTTTATGAAAGGGCTCGTGGAGATTTATGAAGAGGTTCTTGCGAAAGCTCTAGCGATTGTTGTTGCAACGGTTCCGATAATGGCCCTTGTTACAATTCTGGCAAAAGTGGTTGCGATTACGGAGTCTTGAAGGATGGTCGATTGGGTTTTGAGGAGGGACCAGTTGAGTCTTGGGGAAGGAACAGTTGAGGTTTGGTGCAAGTAGATTGAAGGCGAGAGTGACCCCCTTTATATAGGCGATGCAAATCCCCACTTTCTCAGTGTGGCCATGTCTTTTTCGTTTACAGGGAGCTAACATGACATCATGGAATGAGCAAGGAGCATAGAAAAGAAAAAAATCAAATAGCCGAGGGAAAGGGGTTTACTGAAAATAGAATGGATTTCAAAGGAAAAGGATGTTTGATAAGATGATGGCGACAAACCAATGAAAACAAGACCTCTTATCATCCACCATAGACACAAGCCTATCAGGTTTTTTTTTCTCACGCCAAATACCATTCCCATCGCCTAATTAAAGTTTTTTTTAGATCTATATACTTAAGTAAAGACGAACCGGAGACTGTGGCTCCACCGCGATCGACTTACCTCGTCGTCAGAAAATTAAATGTTTTGCCGCGTGAGAATAAACATTGTGAGCGGCAGCAAATGAAAACAGATGGGTTATATTACCGCGCGGGGGTCGGGTGCTTTACAACTGCAAAAATACGTGTGGACAAGGCCTTTTCTTAAAGGTCATTGGCTGGAGAATTACAAACAAACCCACAAAAAAGTTGACCTGCATAAATAAACATGCATTGTTACTAACACAAAAACTGGTTCGCACGAATCCCACGGTAAAGTGACATTAAGTTCGTTTCTTGTTTTCCATGATGCTGATATTCTGGCTGGTATATACAAATCCTTTGTAAAATGAAGTTAAATATTCTATTTGTCCTTGTCTTTGCAATGCTTGTATGAGTGCAACATGATGATTGTAAAGTCTGTTTAACTCAATAAATGCAAGAACTAGTTTCATGATACATTCTGCACTCAGACAAGCATTCTAAGGAGAAATTTGTGCAGGCCCATCATGAAAAACAAGCTTTAGTGTAAATATTTCACTTCACATGGCATTATACAGCCAAATTTTGTGTAAGAATCGGTGCATGTTTATTTGTTTACATGTACATTTAGAGCGAAAAGGGCTAAACGGGAAAGATGCTCCTATTGGCTAGAAGCCTCTATTTGGATAAATTTTGTGAAACATCTATTCTCCAATAATTTTGTCACATTTTACTTTATTTCGTGGTGGTGGGAGATGTCTAGCGGATAATTCCGATAACTGTGTTGGAATGCAGGACAGTGACGAAGTGTCACCAGCAGGAGATATTGCTGAAGAAGGCTGGTCAGCCCTATTAAAGGGATGATGATTGGGCATTTCTTGTCTTAAAATGCTTAAATTGACGCGTGCAAGGAAAAAAAAGAAATGATAATCGTTTGCGAGTCATTAAAAAAATCCGAAATTAGAGGGACAAATGATGCAATATTATTGGAGAATTGACATTTCACAAAGTTTATTCAAGTAAAGGTTTTTAGCCAATAGGAGTGTCTATCCCGTAAGACCCTTTTACGCTATTCGATATTGAGTGCCTATACTACATGTATATATACATTTACTTTTTGGATCCTCGAATGCGTATGGTTCATAGTTGGGTCTGTAACGCGATAAGAAACAAGGAAATCTTAAAACAGAATACTAAGTTACAAGTGCTGCTACAATGGGCTCAGTAGACAGAGGACAAAACATCATTATACTGAGAGTCGCACGCAGTTTTGGCCTGGTTGCAGAGTAAATAAATTATGGTTTGGATCGGTCTACGAGCTCTCGAGCGGCGCCTCGTGAGAATTCAACAAATTGGTAAATAAGATAACCTTTACGTTTATAGGGGAGTCAATTGTAGTATAAATAAAACGCGTAATAAGTGAGGATAGGGAGATGGATGAAGAGAATATGAGGGTAAGGACAACAGCAGATAGGAATTAATTACACAATTAAAAGGATTTAAATACAAGTAAATGAAAGCAGAGTAAGAGAAGAGTTGAGAAGGGTTGTGATTGCGGGTAATGATGAAGAAAAAGAAAGTAATTAAATACGTGGTGCTGAGAGATCTTTATTTCTTAGAGGCGCAAACTACGCAAATGAATACGTATGTTGGGATTAAGAGGAAGTAGCGACAAGGAAGGAGAGCAAATGATGACGGACAAGGCAAGAGAACTGCACCTATTTTTTGGAGTCCTTCATCCCATAGACCCATCCCGACTTTCGCTTCACCTGAATAGCATCACAAGGCCACTCGCTTCTCCCCATACAGTACTACTAATATGTATGCAATGAAAAAAAAAAAAAAAAAAAAAAAAAAAAAAACTAGCTTTTGCTGCTGATACATAAGCCGTATATATAGCTTGCATCAGTCGTACAAATTGCTCGAGTTTAGAGTAATGCTTGTCATCAAACATGTATAGTATCATGATAATAGTGCAAGCTCTTGGTACCCAAGCCCGCGTTTCACTCGACACCTTTTATGGATGAAATAATTTTCTTTCTTCTTTTTTTTATTCTACAAAGGGCCATGGGGCCATGAGTTTTGGATATGTAGAGAAAATATGAGATAAAAGCTATTTGATCACTGATGGAATCCTTTCATCATCATTTCTACTTCCTGCTTCATCTTGCTTTTTGCCCCATTCTCACGGTTTGTGCAGCGATGTTGGAAGGCTTGTCCCACGAAACCACTATCGTGACACCAAAGTATAACAAAGTATAACAAAGCATAAAACCCTTGCCATAAAACAAAGAAGTTTCAGCAAAAGAACACAGCCGACTCGACAACGATTCATCTTCCACTCAAAGCGTTTTACTCATAGGATTCCGCCTTAAGGTTTGTCGCTTTGCATTTATCACAATTTCTGTTAAATAGCATCTCTAGCCTTATAACTGTTCTTTAGAAAGGGGACAAAGTGACAATGCTCTAATAAATCCAACTTACCCATGGCTATAGCTTCACCTCTTTTACCGCTATGTTCCTCTTCACCATGGAGTGAGATAGACGTGTGAGGTTATTAAAGTGTTTTCAAACATATCGCTAGGCATGTTTGCATCAGACACCTATTACTTAGGTGAAGCCTCCGGAGAAGACAAAGATGATGTGACCAAATCTTTCCTAGATGTTACTAACAAACCCCATCCTGGAGTACGAAAGTATTATGGCGATATCCCTTTAATTGAATTGTAAGTGGGATGCTTATGGTGAGCTTTCATAGTTCACTCTAAATCAACATACAGCACGTATCTTTGCCTCCTTCCAACAATCAGCTGGGTTGGATACATTCTTATTATGTGAAAGTGATCAGGACTTTTATGATGAGGCCGCAAAATGGTTTAAATCCAGGATTAGGATTGATCGATACTGGAATTGTAAGAGGAAAGAATTGATTCTTTGGATCTTCAAGGGTGTTCCTTGGCTGGCGGTCGTGAAAGAACACTCTTTTCTTTATCAGGAAAAGTGGTAGCAGCAGAGGCGGAAGATGAGCAACCGGCGGCAACTTGCTCAATGCTAGCAGTGGCGGCTGAGCAAATGGATTCTTAAATAAGATGGATTGGTGAAGGCTTGTTGTCAACTCAAACTATCACCAACGGCGATGATAACAGTTCTTTCAGTGTTTATACAGTGGAAGGGATTTACTGGTCATCAGAAGGGTTGTTCATGCCGAGCGTATCTGGACCCCGTAAAGGGATCAGTTGTATGATGTTTTGGAATGGCAGCGAATTAAGGAGGCACCATTGTTCCTTTAGACGTGGAGTCCATCCAGAAAGTTTAAAATCTTGTGAGAGCTTTCAAATGATTATCCTTCATAGTCCAGCGACCCTTTCCTGTGTAATCTTTCTCTTTAATAATCTCAAGCTACAGAACTACCCTTAAACTATAAATAAACTTTTTTATTTTTTGTCCTCTGCTGGCTGATTTCGTACTACATCTTTCTTTTTCTCGAGCTTCCAGAACACATCCATCTCCATAGAATATGGACTTCAACGATAACAATGTCAACAACACCTACACTGCTTCTAACCTCTCTACTGACGGCAACCCCGATCCATCAACCCTGGAGGGCAACTCCACTCCACCATCCACCCTACCCAGTAACCCTTCCATTCCAGAAATCCAACATGCCCTCCCTCCGGAGATCCTGCAAGCTATCAGTGCTCTCACGCAGTTCATCCAGAACGGAGGCGCGTTCCGCCAGCCAGGCACACCAACCCAAGACCCATTTATGCGTAGGACGGAGCCTCTATGCTACCTGGAGCCCTACGAGGATTTGGAACAAGTTATACCTTCCCTCAAGAGAAGAAAGGAATTCCACACAGTCAAGCTCAATGACGAGGAGCAACGTTATTACGACATTAGCCAATTTCCAAAAGTGGCAGGTATGGAATACACGCCTCCAGCAATCCCCAAAGAGTGGTCTATTTCCGATAGTCTCAAGAATGCCGATCAGAAATTGGTCACACTGGCAACAAAAGCGGCACACATTACAAGACCACTCGATGCAGCAGCTCATGCAATCGTCTCTCAAAACGGCACAAATGACGTGCAAGTACAATACATCCTTCGCATCCTGGATACAGTCCGAACTCAAATCTCCACGCTCTGCGAACAGATCAATAAAATCCGCACCGAAGCATTCGTTCTACAAGGAAAAGAAATTTATCAATCTTCCTGACACATCGACCCGAAGCCAGCTGGTCGAAACAACTGACTTACTTGAACATGCTAAGCTTTCACAGAATATCAAGAAACACAGCAACCCTAACCGAGGTAGGGACTGCCGAGGTAGGCAAGGTCGTTTTGGGAGCACCAACCACAATTCATTTACTCAACCACAACCACAGCAACAACCATTCTTAGCTGATCTCGGGAGTCACAGGAAAGGGTCGCTGGACTATGAAGGATAATGAATAGTGAAGACGTCAAAGGAAGGCCTACGCTCATTATCCGCGCCAGCGACCCTTTCCTGTCCCGCCCACGGCCACCCAAAAGGCATGTTTTTCTTCGCTGTCGAAAAAGAAAGATGTAGTACGAGATCAGCCAGCAGAGGACTTAAAAAAAAAGCTTATTTTTAGTTAAAGGGTTCTGTAGCTCGAGATTTATTAAAGAGAAAGATTACACAGAAAAGGGTCCCTGGTATGGATAATGATCGTAAGACTTCCTTTGTCGTCTTCGCTATCCAAAATGACAAATCTTCATTATAAGGGCCACCAATGTTGTGCTTCTTCTAAAAATGATTGCTTTGTGATGCATGGCAATGAATTTTGAAATACA